AGTTTTAAACAAGACAACCTTGCCTCACTGCCTTATTTACTGTAAACAGTTTTAAACAAGACAACCTTGCCTCACTACCTAAGTTACCGTAAACGGTTTTAAATAATACAGCCCTAACTCACTACCTAAGTTACTGTAAACAGTTTTAAACAAGACAACCTTGCCTCACTGCCTTATTTACTGTAAACAGTTTTAAACAAGACAACCTTGCCTCACTGCCTAATTTACTGTAAACAGTTTTTTAAGTATTTTTTTTAATCACATTTCATACATACACACACACACCTGAAGAAACCAGAAGCTGGGTAGCATGAAGATAATGTTTCTTGGCAAGGTATCTCTCCACGGTGTAGGGGACTTCGAGAAGTCTCTCACTGCCAGAACAACACATTTTTAGAGCTCTACACAAGCAACTTAATCTGTTTTAAAAACCCACATCGAAATATTAAAGAATTCTTGTTTAACTCATTAATTACCAAATTAATTAACCAATTTTATTACAGTTTGGATGTTTATTTCTTGTTAAACTCAAAGCTACACAATGTGCAGTGTGTGTGTGCAATATCCACCACGGGTATCAAAACCCAGTTTTAAGCATTATAACCCTTCAGACCTACCACTGAGCTACTGTGGGGCCAAAACAGAACCATCAAAATATACATGGTACTCAGCCAAGGGAAACAAGGAAATATGAAATTATCTTTACCAAACAGAATATAAGTTACAGAAAGTTCATACGTATCATTACACAGAAATATATATAATATATATATGGAGAACTAATTCCCAACAATACAATATTATCAACTTACCACACAAGTTTTATTTTACCACAGTTCCAAAGCAGATGATTTGAACTAACATTAGCACGTACATAAAATAAAATGGTTAAAAGCAATTAACGAGGATAGGTAACCAAATGAAAATGGAACACTGGGTTAAGGAGTTGTTAGAGACAAGACACACACAGTTCTGAACCTAGTGGGTTATTATATCATGGAAAAAGTTTTAAAAACATTCATTATTGGATTTCATACACCTTAAAAGTGCTAAAATAATTAGGTAAACACACATTTCTTGCAGTAACGACAATACTTGTTTCTGTTCAACAGCTTCCAGCCATAACTTCTTCAGTTCGTCTCTTTTACAGTGAAGTAACATCTTACAGTTTTTCAGCTTGTCTTTAATGTTCTGAATCTGTTCTCTCGACACTGGGGATACAAGGAAATTATAATAAATTCAATTATACATTGATGGAAATTAATTACATAATTTTAATCAGCCATCTAAACAGAATGCTTCGGCTTGATGGATGTAGAGTAAGGTTATTTCCAACGGTCTTTTAATCTTCACACTCCTTCAAGTTACAATTAATAACACAGAAGTGTAACATGTTACACAATAGGATAGACATGTTTGTACTAACTTATAATGTAACAAGTTTCAAACACCTGTGAAACACAGGAGTGTAACACGTTACACAACAGGATGGACATTTTTGTACTAACTTATAAAGTAACAAGTTTCAACCACCTGTGAAACACAGGAGTGTAACACGTTACACAACAGGATAGACATGTTTGTACTAACTTATAAAGTAACAAGTTTCAACAACCTGTGAAACACAGGAGTGTAACACGTTACACAACAGGATTACAAAAATGATGTTGTTTGTAGGTGCTGCCATGCATTAGGTGCTGTTCAATAAAAATAATGGTAATAATACAAAAATGATGTTGTTTGTAGGTGCTGCCGTACAAGTTTCAGCAGATACTGCCAGACTTTCTCTTAGTTTAAAATTAGTGATAGCCTTAGTAGCTTTGTCTGTTGTGTAACGTGTTACACTCCTGTGCTTCCCAGGTTGTTGAAACTTTTACTTTATGAGTTAGTACAAGCATGTCTATCCTGTTGTGTAACGGGTTACACTCCTGTATTTCACAGGTGGTTGAAACTTGTTACTTTATAAGTTAGTACAAAAATGTCCTAATTACCATTATTTTTATTGAACAGCACCTATTGTATGGCAGCACCTACAAACAACATCATTTTTGTATTATTACCATTATTTTTACTGAACAGCACCTATTGTATGGCAGCACCTACAAACAACATCATTTTTGTATTATTACCATTATTTTTACTGAACAGCACCTATTGTACGGCAGCACCTACAAACAACGTCATTTCTGTATTATTACCATTATTTTTATTGAACAGCACCTACAAACAACATCATTTTTGTATTATTACCATTATTTTTATTGAACAGCACCTAATGCATGG